TATAAGGACTCAGAAATAGAAAAATACAACTCAAAAATTTATACCAGACCATTAAGATATGAATCAAATTTAAGAACTAGAAAAAAAAGTAGTCACAATTTAAAAGTTCTCTGTCATTCTTGCCTCTACCGTGCTTCCACATCAGCTGTTTTCCTTATTTCCCATGACTTTCCCAATACCAATATATATTTTTTCTTATGTCCTATTCTTCACCTCACGATGAATACAGCGCTTGCCTTCATAACTGTATAAAACTGGTGCTAGTCTCTCCTGGCACTTAATAACACCAGCTTAACTCTTTACACTTTACCAACTAAGTCAAGAGTAGCACATCTGGCCATTATAAATGTCAAGGAATGTAAATAATAACTTTCTGTATCTCTAAAACTAATTAGTAATCCTCCTTCTCCCTGGTCAGATACATCCTTAAAACCCCAATCATTTGACATGAGATGAAATATCAAAACCCAAACAGAAATACATAAGATTACTAAGGAAAACAGCAAACACCACGTGAAAAGGTGCTCATCATTAATCATTTTAGAAACACAAATTAAACCCACTATGAGACAGGACTCCTCATTCACTAAAGGCTAAAATTAAAACGACAGCTAAAAATACCAAGTACTGGCAAGGACGTGGAATAAATACTCTGAACCTCCCAACATACATTGCTGTTGGGAATGTAAAATTTCAGCAAATGCTGAAAAGTTTAGCAGTTTCTTATACAAACACACTATAATACAACAACCTTAATCTTGGGTATTTACCCAACAGAAATGAAAACATGTAACCACACACAGACTTATATACTTATGTTCATAGCAGCTTTATTCATAACAGCAAAAAAAAAAAAACTGAAAATAACTCAAATGTCCATCAACTGGTAAATGAATTAACAAACTAGTATGACTATACAATGCAAATACTACTGAATGATAGAAGATAAAACAGGAACTAACTACTAATACATATAACAGTGTCAGTATCTCAAAAGTATTATGTTCAGTGAAAGAAGCTGGACACAAAAGACTGTATCTGATTCTGGTTATTTGAAATTCTAGAAAAGGCAAAACGAAAGTGACAAACAGCAGATCAATGGGTTGCCAGGGGGTAGAACTGGGGGCAAGGGATTGACTACAAAAAATAAAAGGGAAACTTTTAGGTGACAGAAATGTTCTATATCAGCCAGGCACAGTGGTTCATGCCTGTATTCCTAGCACTTTGGGAGGCTGAGGCAGGCGGATCATGAGGTCAGGAGTTCGAAACCAGCCTGGTCAACATGGTGAAATCCCATCTCTACTAAAAATACAATAGTTAGCCGGGTGTGGGAGCACGTGCCTGTAATCCCAGCTACTCAGGAGGCTGAGGCCGGAGAATCGCTTGAACCCAGGCAGGCGAAGGTTGCAGTGAGCTGGGATCGTGCCATTGCATTCCAGCCTGGGTGACAGAAACTCCGTCTCGGGGGGAAAAAAAAGAAATGTTCTATATCAAGACTGTGTTGGTGGTAATTACATGACTACACATTTGACAAAATTCACTGAATTATATACTTCAATTGGTTAATTTTATTATATATCATACCTTAAAATTTATTATAAAATAATACATAAAGTTTATATATATCAAAATGGAACAATGGTAACATGATTTACTTTGCTACATTTCCAAATTTTTCCAGTGAGGATGTATTATTTTAAAATAAGAACAAAAATCCCATTTAAGAACAATTAGCATATTACAAATATATGAGTATACATGATCGCAACGACTTATAAATAAAAACTCAGAGCTAAGAATAGAAGGAAATTTACCACTATTTACTTTGGGTAAAGGAGTACTAAAATTCCTCCTAAAGCTTTTGTATAATTCATAACTTTTAGGGGACAACTTTGTTTTAAAAATGCAGTAATAGAGAATGCCCTGCAATAATTGGTATAAGTTTATCCAGAGCTTTTGCCCAAATTAATTGGGAAGGCATCACATGTGCTCACTTTTCAAAGATGCTTTTGAAAGATTATTCAGTAGTTTAATTTCTTTTTGTTTTTTCCAGTAAGTCTCTGTTTCAGGTATTTTTTTTTTTTTTTCTCAAGATTATTCTCTGCATTACTCAAAATGATGAATCAAACAGATTTTGCTTCTTAATTTAATGTCTTATTCTTTAAAAACCCCTAAAGAACAAACAGTTCTTAGACCTGGAATGTATTTTCTACTCAGTAATGCCCTATTTTGTAAAGAAAAGAAACAGAACATAAGTAGCACCTTGGATTAAATCGTCCATTCTGATCAGCTGTACAGAAGACATAAATTGGAGGTAACAATAACTGCTTTAATCTCTGTGAATACCTCATCAATTAAATAATTCCTCAGGAACATTTTTCCCATTCATATGGGAATTAAATATTGGTTTGCAAACACAGAACCAACTAACAATCTTTTTTACAGAATCTCTAAATCCTTTCTTCCAAGACCATTCTGGCCAACTGACTGGATTTAAACTGGATAATAAAAGTAAGGAAAAAAAAAAAAAAGCACAGACATAAACTCTTACAGAGCAAGAAAGACCAGATGGTCACCTTGACTTCAGAGGCAAAACCAGTATGCTCTAATATTGTGACACGACTCTAATGCCAGAATTCAATGAGAGACGGATCACTTTTAGAAGAACAGCCAAGATAATGGACTCAAGACATAACAGGTAACACACATTCCCAGGATTGCGAGCAGTACCTGAACAAGAGCTGTTAATGGATCATTGTAGCATTATCAATACATCCCAGTCATTGTATGATACCTTACTCTCTTGGTTTCCTTGTATTTGTTGGAAGGCACATTAAAATTTCCATTTTTTAGAGTGCAGAAAGATACTTTTCCTGTTTCTCTCTGCAGCATGTCCAGCACTTTTACACCTTCTGTCAGACAAATACGTTGAAATTCGTATATTGCAAAATCAATAGTATAATACTCAGTGATGGATAGTGTATGTTTCCGATTAACATCCTTTTTGCCAAGTTAAAAATACCCTACTAGGGACCAGGTGGAGTGGCTGATACCTGTAATGCCAGCACTTTTGGAAGCCAAGGCGGGCAAATTACTTGAGCACAGGAGTTTGAGACCAGCCTGGGCAACATGGCGAAACAGTGTCTCTACAAAAAAATACATAAATTAGCTAGGTGTGGTGGTGTAAGCCTGTAGTCCCAGCTACTTGGGAGGCTGAGGCAGGAGGATCACTTGAACCCAGGAAGTCGAGGCTGCAGTGAACTGAGATCATACCACTGCACTCCAGCCTGGGTGACAGGGCAAGACACTGTCTCCAAAAAACAAACAAAAAACTAACAATATCCTATGAAAAGTGGCTTAAACAATTGAAGGGTTTTTATCATATCAAAATAAGTTCACATGTAGAACAGTCCTAGAATGGATTAATTCTGTAGCTTACCAGCATTATCAAAGGCTCTGCTGAGTTCTATCTTTCCACTAAGCCAGCCTCAGTCTATGAGTCTGTGTCCCCTTGTGATCATTAGTTGGCTGCAGCAGTTCCAACTATCAGAGTCAGACAAGACAACATCCAGAGAGAGCAGGATTTCCTCCTCTATTAGTGAGTAAAACATTTTTCAGACACCCTCTTGAAGATCACTTCTCAGTTGCCATTCACTGGGACATGTTTATGTACTCACACCTTATCAATTATTTCTAAGGGGGATAAGACCACATGGGATTCATTTAGAACAGCAAGATTCACTCTTGGGGAAAGCGTCCAACATACCTGGGCACAAAGCTGCACAGAGGGGAACCCAAATAAGCAAAAAGAAGGGAGGGACAAAATAGTTGCTGGCCAGCAACCAACAGTATTTATCACTATCTGATAGGGCTGAAAATGTACAGCATGTGTTGTTACACTATTCCTTGGCTAAGAAGGTAAGTAGCAATAAAATAAAAAGTGTAATAAAATAGATCGTTAGACATCTACGAAAATACTTCAGGGACAACTAACAACTAAGATTCAGAGAGTACAGGCACTAGGCTATGTGCCAGGCACTAGCCTATGTGCTTTACATGTATTAATGTATTTCATCCTCACAACTGTTACCTTTACAGTCATCCCTCAGTATCTGTGGGGGACTGGTTTCCAACCCCAACCCCTCAAATACCAAAATCCATGGATGCTCAAGTCTTTTATATAAAATGGCATAGTATTTGCATGTTACCTAGGCACAACCTCCCATATACTTTAAGTCATCGCTAGATTATTTACAATACCTAATACAATGTAAATACTATATAAATAGCTATTAAACGGTATTGTTTAGGGAATGACAAGGAAAAAAAGTCTGCGCATGTTCAGTACAGACACAACCATCCTTTTCTTTTTTCAAATATCTTCTATCCACAGTTGTTTGAATCCACAGATGTGGAACACATGGATATGGAGGGCCAACTGTATCTTACAGACAAGGAAAAAGAGAGAGAAGCCAGGACTAAGTGACAGAGCTGAGACCGGAACCAAGGTAATCAGGCTTCAGACTATGCTCTCAATTGCTATATTATGCTGCTACAGGGTGATGTACAAAAGGCACATGTTTTAAAAATAGTAAACACAGCAAATGAACCAAGCCATAGGTGGAAATGTAGAAACCAATCCAAGAAGTTGGCTGAGATTTAACATTGTACATTTTATTAAATACTGGACTTTATTACAACAAATTAATTTACTTCCGATAGAAGTTTCATTTTCAAAAATGTGGTTGTGTTCAAATTCTTAATTGACACTGTTTTTTTGGGTAAACATCCTATTTTTACTGGTGGTATCATCAATCATTATGAGAAGAAAGATTAATTTTGTATAACAGGACAAAGGAATTTCTCAAGTGGACAATACTCAATATATATAAAGGGAATATACTCCCAAAGAGTGGGCATGACCACAGCAGAGTATATGATCAGAGAACATATTGTTTTTACGGGGTGTGTGTGTGTCTGTGTGTGTGTGTGTGTGTGTGTGTGTGTGTGTATGTATGAAATAGTTCCATATAACATCATGTCATGCACATTAAGTCTTTACTACCTACTGAAAGTTTCTACCTTACACATGAAAATTGGTCATGTCCCAGGATTTGGCATCCAGCCAAAATTTACACAATGAGGAAGAATGGCTGTCAAACAGACTTTTCAGACCACCCCTGCAAAGCTGTCAGCTGTAATATCCATCCTGGAATCGTGGCGGAAAGTTCCTGGGAGTTGCCTTTTCCTGTGTTTTGATCAAGTCTATAATAGCTGACAGCACTGCACAGTCTCTGGATTTAGTGTCATTCCAGTCTACAGGATGAGGACTTTCAATCTTCTCTTGCAGAAGAATATCTAGCTCCTTTCTTAATTCCTAAGGTTGAAAAAATTATACATATTCAACAAAGGCAGATATATTGCCAAATAACACAATAAATGAAACTGATTTACCTGATACAAGGAGTTTCAAAAGCGATGGCTCAAAAGCTAAACTATTTAGTGAGCAATCAACTAAAGTGTGGTTATGAGCGAATAACTAAAGTTAAAATTCACATGCAATCACATTGAGCCATTTAGAATGGCTGGTCTGCTACCATCTCAAAAAACAATTCAGAAAAACCAGGAACCATTTTTTCAAAATTATTTGCTCTGCTGAAATACAGCAAGAAATGTTAATATATGTAACATTTTGAACAAAACCACTTGACCACATGCTGACTTACATGTAGATTAAAGATAATCACATAAAGTCAGTTACCTTAACAAGATGGGCAATTCTTGCTGGAGACTGAAATACAATCCACTCATCTACAGCAATAGTTTCCTGATCGTTATCCTTCTGGATGGAAATATCACCTCCAAAAAACAAGAGACAGTATGGGGAAACCTCTGTGCAGTCATACAAATATATCTGTAATGAAAATTAAAGTGAATTAATACATTCAGGAGTCTGAAAAGATTACTACATAAATTCAACAATATTACCAGTATTAATTAATGAGTACCTTCCTTCTAAAATATTAACCTGCTATTGTAATTACAGAGATTAATTTGTAAGATACCATTTTAAATGAGCCATCTTCATTATTCAGAGAACACAGGAATATTTTTTAGTTTAAACTAAGCACTACTGTTTGAATAAAATATTTTCTGAGTGACGAAACCAAAACACGAATATAGCTGAAGTTATTTTTATCCAGTTTTTTAATAAATCATCTCAAATTACTGTTCTAAAGAGAAAATATAAACAGAATCTCACTTAATATGCTGAACAATACTTATAAGATATATTGACATGCTAACAAAATTCTCTATACAATGTAAGGTCCTGTATACCATAAAATATGCCAATATTTCTTGAAAGCAAGTTCTGAAAGAAAATTATGCAATCCAGTAACTGTCCTAACTAAACTACAAAGATCTATCATTACAGACCTGAAAATTAAAAGAATAGGTTGTTTGAGGGACAAAGTTACTCACGTCACAGGAATAAGAAACAACAAAAAAGAAAAGTTTGTATATAATTATTAAAACTGTCATAAAAATATGAGACAGATAATCAGATCCTTAATTATTTTAAGTGTTCACTTACACTGCTTGTTCTCATCTTCAGGTGATAGATAAGCCAGTTGTAGTGAAAGTCTGTTTGCTCCACATTAACAGATTTAGGATGAATAGCAACCAGGCCATCAGTTTTTGTGTAAACTTTCACCCTTTAAAAAAAGTTAAAATGCAGTTTGTTAAAAAGAAGTCTTCTAGAGGATTTTTGTTTGTTTGCTTTAACACTACTTGAAAAACTGATAGAAGAGCTTGGTAAAAACCAAACAAATTCCGGAATCTAAAAAAACTCCAGAGAATGGCCGGGTGCGGTAGCTCACGCCTGTAATCCCAGCACTTTGAGAGGCCGAGGCAGGTGGATCACGAGGTCAAGGTGATCAAGACCATCCTGGCTAACATGGTAAAACCCCATCTCTACTAAAAATACAAAAAATTAGCCAGGCATGGTGACGGGCACCTGTAGTTCCAGCTTCTCCAGAGACTGAAGCAGGAGAAAGACCTGAACCCAGGAGGCAGAGCTTGCAGTGAGCTGAGATCGCGCCATTGCAATCCAGCCTGGGTGACAGAGCGAGACTCCGCCTCAAACAAAAAAAAAAAAAACTCCAGAAAATCAGTTTATTTTTGCAAAAAATATATTTATATTTGAGGACAGAGCACAATTTCTTTAAAAATATATGAAAAAATGCTATCAGTATGAATAATTTAAATCATGTAACTAATCTTCTTGCAAGTATAATTACTCAATATTTTAGAAAAATGACAGAATATTCTTTTCCTTAATGTTAATGCACACTATCCCACTGAAGAATAAAGAACAAAATAAATATCTAAAATAATTGATTCGTATCAAGAGAAGAGTCTATACATTTTACTATGACAATCGTATTGATAAATAGCCCTTGGCTTACAAAATAACTGTAAAATTAACTTAAAAATTTTAGAGTATGACTCAGATGAACAAAAAATGAAGTTAAGAATTCTATTTAAATTCCTGTTGACAGTTCTAATTCAATCTTTTTTTTGATAGTCATATCACAGTCATATACATTTGATAGTCATATACTTTTTTTATAGTCATATACATTTTATCTCAATTTGTAAACATCTTTAATGTTATTCAACAGGGAGATGTTTAATAATTTTTAAATAGTTAATGTTAATTACCTGCATTAAATTAACAGCATAAAAGCTAATAATCCACTAATCTTTCCTATTTGTTTTTACGAGTGTCTCTTCTGAAGTTTTTTTTTTTTGAGACGGAGCCTTGCTCTGTCACCCAGACTGGAGTGGAGGGGCCCAATCTCAGCTCACTGCAGCCTCCGCCTCCCGGGTTTCGGTGATTCTCCTGCCTCAGCCTCCTCGGTAGCGGGGATTACAGGCATGTACCACCACCACGCCCAGCTAGTTTTTGCATTCTTAGTAGAGATGGGGTTTCACCACGCTGGCCAGGCCGGTCTCAAACTCCTGACCTCAGGTGGTCCACCCACCTCGGCCTCCCAAAGTGCTAGGATTACAGGTATGAGCCACCGCACCCAGCCACTTCTGAAGTTCTAAGAATTCATAATACTTGTAGTCAAAATCATGAATCATAGTTATGAATTCATAGCTCTAAATACTGAGAATAAAACCAAAAATTACTTTTTCTCATTTAAGTCAATTTACCAATGCCACCCTGCAACCCTGCATAACTAGAGCAGTAGAAGTTGGAAAATTTCTTTTTTTTTTTTTTTTTTGAGACAGGGTCTTGTTCTGTCACCCAGGCTGGACTGCAGTAGCATGATCTCCTTTCACTGTGCAATGGTGTAATCTTGACTCACTGCAACCTCCACCTCCTGGGCTCAAGCAATCTGCCTGCCTCAGCCAACCAAAGTGCTAGGATTATAAGTGTGAGCCACTGTGCCTGGTCCAGCAAATTTCTATACAGGACCAGATAGTAAATATTTTAGGATCTATATTTGGGGGTCTATAATTTCTGTCACAACCACTTAACTCTACTAGTGTAGAATAGATAACATGAAAACAAATGGGCCTGGCTGTGTTCCAACAAAAAATGTACAAAACCAAATTTTTGGCTTATAGGTCAAAATTTGCTGACCCCTAGTCTGGACAAAACTAATGCACCAGTCCAAGGAAAAAACTATGTTTGTTCATAAAGCCCTCCCAGGATGGCAGAGAGGAAAATAAAATGAATTTCAAAGTAACTCTCTGTTAAGCTACCTGTAAAGTTAGGTACACATTAAAAAAAAAAAAAAAAAAATTGTCCAAGTATTGATTTTGAAAAAGTACTTAGATCACGTAAAATGTAAATAATCCAACCATAATGATTAAAATTCATCAGTTACCCATTCCTTCATACCTTGGAATAAGGTTTCTTGACTTTAGTACTACTGACACAATGTTACAACAACCAGAAGTATCTCTAGACACCGTCCAATGTCCCCTTTGGGGGCAAAATCACCCCGGTTGAGAACCATTGCCCAAGAACAATGCCTGCACTTTGGCCTATCTATAAAGTCTATATTTTTTCATGTTTGTAATTCTAGAATATCCAACTTTCATTTAACATCAGTTTAAATATTTTACATGTTACTACACAATGACTGTTTTAATGCCCACCTACGGAGATGCATTATATAGTATTACAAAACCACAATTTTCCATTTGCTACTAGAAATCTGTATTATTTACAATATAGCCATTAGAAAACATTTGAAATTACTTCCTTAAGACATGTGTATCAAATTAAAAACTCACTCATCCATGCACTGGGTCAGTGACTATTTTAATGACTCAATACATAATTCTAACCCAGAGTGCCTTCCAAAATAGTAGCAACCACACCACTGGCCATCTGTGACTCTTAGTTTCTCTGTATCCTTTAGCTAGAATGAGCTCATTCTAGCTCATGCTTCATTGCTATCTCCAATTACTACTGAGGCTATCTACACATATGTTATTATACTTTATTTCTCAAAATACTGATATAACAATTTTATTCAAAGAGCTAAGTTATCCATTTTATAAGACAAGAGGAAAAAAGTTTTCTGAAATAAAATCTACTCTAAGCAATTTCAATCCAGGCACTGGTATTTACTGGCAGGCTGGCTTTTCTAATATTTACACTGGCATCATGTGGTAGCATTCTTTGTGAATAATGGGTTATCAGAGAGGTGATTCCAGGATATGTTGTGAGGGAAAGTGATACCAATGCTAAACAGTTCACCTTCTCTGAAATGATTAAAAGAACAAGAACATAACCCACATATGAGTAAGATCAAATTTATAATATAAGCCTTGTTACATGAGATTTCAAAAGTTTAAGAAGAGAATTACAAGTAATTCATAATAATCTTCAATGCTTACATTTTTCTTTTTTTACCCAAATTTAGTCGAATTTTAGCAACTTTGGGATATAAACCAGCACAGATGACAGCTTTAATTATCTTCTCATTATCTATGGAGGGGGGGGTGAGAAGGTAGAGGGAAAAACAAGTAAAATACTGATACAATAGACAAAAGATACTTATTTACACTGTGTTTTCTGCTGTACCTGAATTTATATTAGATTCTGGATCTTTAGGATTTCTACTGCTTACAAATCCGGCTCCAAGAAGATGCTCAGCAAACTGTCCTTTCATGTTATGCAGCATCTAGGGAGCAATGGTAACAAATAGAACTAGAATACCTTTCACACATTGAGACTATAAAATATACACTAATAGATAAATTGAGTTGTAAGCTCTCTCTGCTTTATGAAAACTTTTGCAAACATGTTTTAAAGCAAAGGCTGGCAAACTACAAAAGCTGTTTTTGTCAATAAAATTTTATTGGAACACAGCCACACCCATTCATCTACATTTGGTTGCTTTTGCACTACAATAGTAGAGGTCAATGCTTGTAACTGAGCTTATGGCCTGTAAGCCTAAAATATTACCTGACTTTTCATAGAAAAAGTTTGCATGTTGTAAGGAATAGCCACCGATGTTTAAGGATTACTCCATTTTGTGAAAGACTAATAGAATTTTTAAAATTACTTTCCATCCCCATTTTAAAAAAAATATAGAAAAGCATAAAGAAAATAATCAACATCCACATTTCTATTACTGAGAATTAAATATGGTTAACAATGGCACATAAACTTAAGGTTTTTTTTTTTTTTTTTGGAAAAAAACGATACATGGCTTATTATAAAGCATTCAAGTAATTATAAAGCATTCAAGTAATATAGAAAAGTACTTCCCATGCCTCAATACTCAGTCTTCTAAATAAACAAGATTGCAGACACCTATTAAGCATATATACTGATAGAAGAAATGTATCCTAATGACAGAATCATAGTATAGAAATTCTTTATACAACAATTAACTTTAGTTCAATTTAAAGAAAAGTTAAATAGAAATGAAAGTGAATGACCAGTGAATCTTAAATTTTCATAAGCACAGAAATATTTCCTAAGGAATTCCTTTTAGAGATTATGAAATATAAAGTTGGTTATATTTAAGTATATATCCCTTTTATGAAAGGTGTGACTTCCCCACCTAATTTCCTTACACCTGACTTTCTTAGACACCTCCTAGTTTTTACTGCCATTATTTTATACTATTCAGGATAATAACCTTTACATTCTATTTTTCATGTATAATTCCTAACACCATTTTATTATTAGCTCTATATTTAAATACTTCTAATGTATACTACCAGCTGATAAAGCATGCACTCTCCAATCCTGAAATCTCCACTGTGATTCCCCTTTTAACTGACAGCACTTCACTGTCAATGGGCTTTTCAAGAAGAGATCAGGGTTATAGTATTTCTTGAGTATTTTCTTGAATACCTGTTGTTTTTCTTTACACCTGAATTCATATCCTGACGACATGACATTCTCAAACACTTGGATTCAGTTATGTTTTCATACTTCTGTTCATTTTTTCCATTTCAAAAAAAAATGTTCTTATATATGGCTCAAAATAAATATTCAATTACACAGGATTTCTATGCAGATACTAATATCTACTGTTCTCATGATGGATCAGTTCTGTCTTCCTGTCTTTAAGATTTTACTTATTGCTTTAATTTTTGTCTTTTTCAGGTACCTCCATAAACTGTGATTAGTTCAAGCTTTTTTCCTATGGCAATAACTTGTTTTTAAGGGGTGTCCATTCTATTCCTTGTGATTTCTTTTGTTCTTCAATTTGTTTTCTCAGCTCAGGAGTCTTTTCATTCACTCTATTGTTTATTTTCTAACCTTTGTTTTGCTGGATTCATATTCTTATTAGCTATTCCATATCATGAAACAGCTGTAAGGTGTTTTCTATTGAAACATGGCATTCCATTCTTTTTTTTTGTCTTGTCTTTTCCTTTCTTTCCGATTTGTGGTGAACCTTTTTTTCCATTTTGCTAATGACTGGGCACTTCTGATTCGGTATGTTAGTTTTTTTGTTTACTACTTTGTACATCTGTTAAACATCCAGTATAAGGCCTCACGTCACATAGCTGGGGTGTATGTGTACTGGGAGATGAGGATATTTCTATTCCCAATGGCTTCGAATCCCCAGTTCAGTGTAGTCTGAAATATAATGGTATATGCACTCTTTACTGTTTTCTTCTGTTTTACAAATGCTTGTCTGCAGTGTTTCACTGTATTAAACCAGAAAACATACAGATATCTATCCTATTTGATACTTTTCAACAGATTTTAGAAGTGTTAGCAAAAATTCTCAGTCTGAATCATCAAAACGGCAACTAGAATGTGGGGACAGGAACAGAAATTGAACCTTACTGCGCTTTGCTCTTATCCTCTGGAACTGTGTTTCTTTTCCTTGTTTTGTTGCAGTTGATTTAAGAAAGATCCCCCATTATTTTGGGTATATATACAAATATACTCAATTTCCATATATTTGACTTTTTTGCTATAGATCTAATTGTACAAAATGGATACACATATTCTGTAATCTAGCATATATGATAATTATTGCAAAACATTCACCATTACCTGCAGTGTGTTTGAAGACAGAAAATATTCCCAGCAATAGTCCTTTTCGTATCTGAAACCACGTCGCCTAGCCTCTTCCCAACCCTGTGGGGCAAAGAAATGAAGAAATATATATTCTTCCTGCAAACGAAGATTACTACTCGTTTCCCTCTTTATTTTACTAAAACTTTAATATTCTACTAATATTTAATTTTCTTTGTAAAAAATTCGAAGAACTTTATAACTGACAAAATAAAAACACATACACTCCTCATAATCCTAGTCCTTAAGAGATAACCACCACTGAAGTTCCAGGCCTTTATACAATTAAGTATACAGTAATATATTATGTATTTTACACAAAATGACATCCAAACTGTACATAATACACTAATCAGAGCACACTATTAAACCGACCTAAATGCTATTACATATTATCAAATTCACAACTTTTCTTTATGGCTTGCTTTTTTTTAGAGGGAAATGGGGGAAAAAGGAAAGACAAGTTGAATAAGCTCAAAGACAAAAAAACATGAATTTCCCCATAATATGCCATACGAAACAGAATGTAGAGCTACAGAAAAAAGATACTGCCTCTAAAAACCAAATTACATTTAAATTTTACCAAGATAGGTGATAAATGTTTACCCTCAGATACACCTGGCTTTTGGGAGGTGTCTCCCAATCTGAATTATGCACATGATTATGATTCTCTATTACATGTTAAATCTGAATACAGGGTAGTTTATTAATGAATAGAAAGAGAGTGTCATGAATGTTAATAAGCCAAAGATACAAAGAAATTATTAAATACAAAATTTTAAAATAAACGATTCACTTGTTCATTCTTACCAAAAACTACTATGAATTATAACTTTTTTCAAATGTTCAGCTAAATTTCAACATTCTCAGCAATTTATTCCTGATATTTATGATTATATAATATAGATTTTGGTTTTTTGTTTTCATTGAGATGGAGTGTCACTCTGTCGCCCAGGCTGAAGTACAGTGGCACGATTTCGGCCCACTGCAACCTCTGCGCCCCCGGGTTCAAGCAATTCTCCTGCCTCAGACTCCTGAGTAGCTGGGATTACAGGTGCCCACCACCACACCCAGGTAATTTTTGTATTTGTAGTAGAGACAGGGTTTTGCCATGTTGGCTGGCCTGGTTTCGAACTCCTGACCTCAGGTGATCCGCCTGCCTCAGCCTTCCAAAGTGCTATAAATACAAGCATGAGCTACCATGCCCGGCCTAATGATAACACAGATTTCAAAAGGTTAAATATGATCCTTATTCTATTATCAGCATTTCATTTGAATAAACTGTCATAATCCAGAACAAGATTTTTTTTTTTTTTACCTCAAATGCATTCACAACTGTTAAGTGATCACTTCTAGTATCCTTTGCCAATTCTTTTCTTCTTGCATCTGCAATCTTTTCTTTTCCCTTAAAAAGAGCAGATATAGGCAATTTAAATTGCTCTGATGCTATAACAGAGAACAGCATTCTAATAAAATGCTAATGAAAAATACATCTAAGCAACTCCTGTTCATATCTAAAATAAATTGATTTTGTTTCAATTTTTCTTACCAATGGAATGACAAATGGATCTTTGAAACTGAGACTAGCAGCAATAGTGAGTACTGGGTCTAAGCAGCAGAACAGAGCTCCAAAAAGAATCATTTTTCCAATATGTGGCTCAACGGGTAATCGTGCCAAGTGGACTCCAAGAGGTGTCAATTCTTCTTGTTTATCCAAAGCGTTCTGTAAAGGAAGAGTGTGTGTTTAAAATCGATCTTGTAAAGCATTACATTTAAAATGATTTTAGGTTGCTTTAAAAAGAGTAACAAGCCACTACTCTCTCTTCTAAGTCCAAATGCCCGAAAATTGTTCAGCTTTAGTTTTCCCTACCAAAACGTAAGTTGTGAGGTCAGCAAAGGTTACAAACTTATTTAAACGAAACCAAAATTAACGCACATCTTGGCTTTTCTGTGCTAAGAATACCAGAAATGACAAACTTTCTGTTAAATAAAGAAAATCACCTAATAAAGTATAAAAGTTGTAGAAACAAATAACAAAAACAAAAGATACACTATCATACATTTGGAATGCATAATGCATACTCTCTAGGTTCTAGTAGTTTAGGTGACATGAGACAGAAAAGCAAAAGAAAAAGGAACTATCTAAAACCCTAGAAAATAGGAGTGACTTCTGCTCTGATTCCCTAGGTCATCTGGTCCAACCACCCCACTGTGGACAGCTAGAAAAGTAGCCTGAAGATACCAAGGAGTTAACAAAGAATTACAAGTCAAGAGGTTAGGGAATGACAGACATCTAAGGGAGGTGAGTGTAGAGGTTGGGGCCTCTTTTCCTGGCAGAAAAGGAACATATCCTTGCTGAAAAAAAGCTACCCTCATCCCAAGCTTCAAATTTTTACCTATAAAGAATTTTGTAAACAGAATTTCCAGTGCACAATTAAAATAACTAGGCATACAGATGTAAACAAGAAATAATAATAAAAGAACTCATAAGCATCCCATCAGACACAGATTTTTACTCAACAGTTTTGGAGAAAATACCCTTAATTTTTTTTTTAAGACCTCTTTCAAATGAAAGAAAAAAAAAAATGAAAAACCCTCAACCTGTTTTCTGAACCTAGAATAGCTTGATATCTAAATTTTACAAGGACATCTGAAGAGAAGTGAATAAACTCACATACGAAAATCACAAAACAAAATAATGGCAAATGGAATGCTGGCAAGTTAGGTTTACTCTAAGAATAAAAATTTGTTTAATATTTGAAATATCAGTGTATCTGAATACATGAACCAACTAAAGAAGTCATACCATAATCTCATCAGAAGCAGAAGATACTTGATAAAACTGATTATTCATACAGGATAAAAATGTCTTAGTAAACTTAACGTAGTAAGAGCTTCCACACACCAAACAAAACAAAACAAAACAAAAAAATCAACAAACATTATACTCTCAATGACTTGCTGATGGCTGTTCCTTTACACTACCACATCACCTCTGCTCAACAGTGTATTAAGGGTCCCAGAAACTTGAACAAGAATAAACAAAATTGTAATTATTTAGAGATGTGATTATATATGCAGAAAAAATCTACGTAAAGTGATTTGAATTAGGGGACTTTACAGCATTAATGAATACAAAGTCAATCATTCAAGCAACTTTATTTCTGTAAACTATCACACTCAAAAGATGATGAAATACCACTTATCTTCTAGGTTAGTGGTATTTTGGATTCTGCTTTTAAATATTTAAAATCTAAATTTTTAAAAATCTAAATACATATAAAACCCCAAAGAAAACTCTAAAACACTGAGACTGAATACCCAAATAAACAGAGTAGTAGATGATGATCTTTTTGCTAAAACTCAATACTGTAAAGATACCAGTTCTCCCCAAAATGATTTATAGGCAGAATTCAATCAAAATCAAACTCCCAAGATTCTCAAATATATCTGGAAAAACAAAGCACCAAGAAGGGCCAAGACACTCGCCTGTTTTAAAACAATTCACTATTATTATTATTATTATTATTTTTTAGAGATAGGTCTTTTTCTGTCATCTGGTTTGGAGTGCAGTGGCACAAGCACAGCTCACTGCAACCCTCAAACTTCTGGGCTCAAGCAATCCTCCCACCTCAGTCTCTGGAGTCAAGACATTCTTGAAGAAGAATGAAAGGGAGTGATCTGTTCTACTAGAAAGCAAGACTTATCATAAAGCTAGAGTAATTAAGGCAATGTGATATCAGCTCAGGAGAGAAATACAGGCCAACAGATGAGAAATAAGCCTAGAAACTGACAAACAAATCCACAGACCTTGACCTATCAAAGACCACAGAACAAGGACAAAAAGAGATGAACTTTTCTATAAATGGTGCTCAGTCAATGCTCTACATATGTAAAAACTTTTATTTCTACCTCAATCCCAACACATATCAATTGCAGATGCATTATAAACAAAAACAATAAAAATTTTTTAAATGTATCTTTATGACCTCAGGAAAAGACTTATTAAAGGCTAAAAAGCAATAACCTTTGAGAATTATATATTTGACAGCATTAAAATTAGGAATTTAGGCTGGGAGTGGTGGCTCATGCCTGTAATCCCAGCACTTTGGGAGGCCAAGGTGTGCGGATCATACAGGAGTTCCACACCAGCCTGGCCAACATGGTGAAACCCCATCTCTACTAAAAATACAAAAATTAGCCAGGCGTGGTGGCATGTGCCGGTAATACCAGCAGGAGGCTGAGGCAGCAGAATTGCTTGAACCTTGGAGGCAGAGGTTGCAGGTTGCAGTGAGCCAAGATCACGCCACTGCACTCCAGCCTGTGTGACAGAGTGAGACTCTCTCAAAAAAAAAAAAAAAAAAAAAAAAGGGAATTTGTTTATCAAGGTATTAAAAACAGGTAAGTTGAAAACAGATATGCAATAATGCAATATACA